CCCCAGGTCAGAGGAAAGCTTGCTAGTAGTCCACAGACATTGGGTGCTTGCCTGGTGCCATTGTTCCATTAACTGGGGAGTAAAGGGAAAAAGAACCTTTTGCCAAGACACATCCCTGCTGTCCCTCGTGCTCGTGGCAGCTGCTGCTCTTGCTCCCCAGTGCTGCCTCGCCATGGTGGGTGGGAGAGCTGGTTTGCTGGGTCTGCACGGGATGACAGATTGAACAGGTGAGGATGTGTCTGTGGGAATGGTGGAATGGTCCTTACCTGGAGCTGGTGCGGCTTCCATCTGCTTGGCAAACAGGCTTTGTCTGTCTTACTGTCTATTTATGCATAACTGCAAATAACATACATACTCATGTTCTCTGTGTTTGTTTTTTTTCCTTGGATTTGGCCATCCAATATCGTGATGTAAGGAGGTGCTATAAATTCCCTTTGTTTAGGAGGCTCGGATATGTTCCAGTGTACATGTGGTTTGTCGTGTATGATATTGGAGGTTCTGTTAAAGATTTAATAATACACTTTTGGAATTGTTGTCACGAATCAATGCAAAAAGCCGTGCTGATTAAAAATTGCCAAACATAAAGCAGAAGAATTCCTTATCTCAAAAATACTAAACATTGGAATAACTTTTGTATCCATTGCTTGCGAAGCTAGGTATGCTCCTCTTATGGTTTCTGAAGTTCAAAATTGATTTTAAATTATATGAAATCCTTTTTCAATGCATAAAACTGTTAAATTTTGAAGTATAGTGTGTAAAGATCTAGAAGTGGAGGAAGATGCCCCATCCAGTGCCATTAGGAAGCTGAAATTCTTCCATATGCTGTTGAGTATTCCAGTTCCAGCCATGCAGGAGAGTATCATGTTGGATCTGACAGCTGTCACAGGGGGAAATGGTATGTGTCTACTGGGTTTGACCGTAATAATTTGGGAGGGAAATACCAAATTAGCAGGGAAAGAAGAAACATTTCCTTTTGTAAACAATATTACAAGAAGATTACAATTTCTTTGAAGCTACTTGCAAATTCTGGTATTGGGATTCTGGAAGAGAAAGTCAAGACAAGATGGATTTGTGGAAAAATAGCTGATGGGCAGTGAAAACTGCGTGATTAATGTTTATAAATATCTAAAGGGAGAGTGTCTAGAGGACGGGGCCAGACTCTTCTCATTGGCACCCAACAATAGGATGGGAGGGAACAGGCTTAAAATGCAGCACAGGGAGTTCCACCTGAACATAAGGAAGAACTTACTTAGTGTGAGGGTGACTGAGCACTGGAACCAGCTGCCCAGAGAGGTTGTGAAATCTCCCTCCCTGGGGATATTCAAAATCCATCTGGACAAAATCCTGGTCCATGTGCTCTAGGAGTCCCTGTGTGAGCAGGGGGTTGGACTAGATGACCTTCAGAGGTCCCTTCCATCCTCAGCTGTTCTGTGATTAGCAGTTTTGTTTTGTTCAGTCCGTTTCCTCAAGCGTTGTGTGTATTCTGGTTTTGAACACCTGAAGTACATGCGTTTGTCGTTTTGAGTGGATGCTTTCTATTATTTACAGTAGTGTATAATTATACACAGCCTGATAAATATAGCAATGTCGTAGAGGCTGTTTTTAGGCTCAGACATTTGTGATTATGATCTAATGTGGCAACAACTTAGCCAAGCTATGAGCAAGAAAATCTTACAGGGAAACAATGCTATCAACCTCACGCGTAGCCTGGTACCAAAGAAGGATCATCTGTACCAGGACAGGGCGTTCTGCTGTTTTTTTTTCCCCTCTGTCCACTTAGTTTCCTCTGTTCTAGACAGACAGGATGAGTTGGTGAGGTAGAGCACACAGTTGCTGGACTGGAACAAGTTGTTTATTTTCCATTGTTTGTCATCACGCATGACTTATTATGCTTGTTTCTTTTTTTCTTTTTTCTTTTTTTTTTTTTTTAACTGGGATTTTCCATTTATACTCCACTGAAGAATCAGTGTTGTTCACTGTTGCGAAGGCTGTCTTCAGAGTTCAGCTTCTGCTCTGTGAAGGGTCATCCTAGTGACTGGTCATGTTAACTCTTTGCTAGAAACAGGTAACTTGTGCTTGTATAAACAGTCCCACCGAACATACAGCAGGCTAAGTTCATCTGTGTCCTCCTTCCCCTTCCTGCTGCAATCAAACAGTGAAAACCTACTCCTGAGCCTCCTCGATCACTGCCACAAGACTGTTGATACTCAGTAATCCCTGAGAATGAAGCAGCATCTGAAAAGGAGCAAGCAAAGCCGAAACAAATGCTGTGCTGAGGGTGTTTGCAGCAATGCCACATACTCAAACCAAAACATTCCCATGCTAAAGGTACCCAGCGCTAAGCTGAGACGCTTGATGTTTTCTGAGGTACTATGTCTCAATCTTCAGTTTCTCTGCTTTGTAACTTCTGTAGTGATAAATTAGGGTTTGCTGTAGTGTTTCACCTTCTTGGCCTCTGCATTGCTTCTAGCAGTGTGCAGTTTTTGCACCCTACCCTGCGTTTCCTTACATTAAATACATCTTTCAGTGGCTCAAGACAAGGATGTGTTTTGCTGCCTCTGGCTGTGTCCTTCCCCTGTTAATAAGGCTTTTTTTTTCCTCTCCCCGTCTGGTTAGAGGTCAATCTGAAGTCCAGGAATGAATGATTATGATAACAGGAGGAAACAGGAAGCATCATGCTTTCTTTTTCAATCTGTTTTTTATTATTGTTTTAATGTAAAACATTGTTTCAATTAAATGCTGACCTGTGCAGTGGCGTGTGCGTGCACATGCTGAAATGAATTCCGGCTTTGTTTGGAAAGCTGTGACCTCTTTATTCCTGTTTGGGATCAAGGCTGTTGCATTTCAAACCCACTGCTGAGGACTGAAATTTCACTCGTACTCCTAGTAGCACTGGCAGTAACGATCCTTAAGAGTGGCAGTATTTTCTTTGGGTGTTTTTATGTGCTGTTCTCTCTTAATTTTTAAAATAAACTTGTTTGGTTTTAAGAATTCCTCATGTCATTTGAAAAAAAAAAAAAAAAGACAACTGTGACATAATTATAAATGCATCAAATGTGCACTGGGTTAAACTGGTACCTGATGGAGCAGTTAGTTATGTGTAGAAATGAGAAGCAAAGATCCTTATCAGTTACTTGCTTTCTCTATGACTTAATTTCATGCTATGTTTATTTATTCTTTCATTTTTTTAAAGTGCCATGTGAATTGGATTCACCAAAAGGAAATTATGGGACTCAACCCCAATACCTGCTTCCACCCCCCTGAAGTGCTAGCTGCAATGACACTAGAATAAGATGTTGAGTCTGTTACTTGCTTGGATGCAGGTTGTAAAGCTGAGGGGGGTCAGTCTGTGTTGTCTTGGTTAAGTTCCTTGTTTGCTTAAAATGAACCGTTTCAGAGGAAGGAAGAAGGGCAAGAGGAATAACATGAAAATTGTCTAGGTTGTTAAAATGAGTCAGTTACATTTTATACTTGTCCCCTGGTGACCAGATTTTCATTTTTCTAGTTGGCCTCATGGAATGTTTTTATTTATATATCTTATTAGTTCTGGATGCTCTGCACAAGGGGAAACCTGAATTACAAACTTTTTTTTTTTCATTATTGTATTAAGAGCCTGGGTATTGAATGCAGGTGCTCAGACTGCCATAATTGTCAGTTTATGGAGAGACACCAGCTGTACTGCTTCACAGGGGAGATATTATGTCTCTTCACACGTTGTATATATCGTAGGAAATGCAGAATTCCTGTTTTTGTCAGAAACTTTGCATGTCCACATCCACCAGTGCCTCTGTAGAATAAAAACAACAATCCACTCAAAGTTAAAACCATATCTATTTTCAGAAACGACTTATCCCTTTTATTGTCCTTTCATGTAGCACTAATTGACGTTTTGTTTGGTTAAATATAGACAAGATTTAACAAATATTTGTCTTTTTATGGTCATGCAAGGCAAACTGGTGTCATACTGCCTGCCTTGTTTGGGTTTTTTTTGTGACACGTGACAACAGACACTACATATCTGCATGTGTGTGTTATACCTATAGAAGGTTATACTCATCACGTAATAACATGCTAAATGATATATTTAACAGTTCCAGTTCACAGAACAGGGGTGCAAATAGAAGCAATAGGACTCCAAATTATATTAAAAGACATAATTTTACAGTGGGAAAACCACGATGCCTTCCAGGCATCTTACACAGCAGGGGCTGTAGCTGCTCTCTCTGGGGAATGCCTGGGAGCTGCAGATGGTACCGCCTGATCCTGCCTGAGGAGTATTGATATATTGATGTGCAGGTAGGTGGGATGTATGTGGTTTTTGAAGGACTGAATTATAGGGGGAAGCTAGGAATTAGTATTGAGATCTATAGGTATCGTATGTGAGCGATTTGGCCAAACGAAGGAGAAGGTAAAAGCTATACCTGCGTTTGAAAAAGGTGATCACTGAAGGGAAAGAAGAGCTGTCGAGTGTTGCAGGGAACATTTGCTGCATATCAAGAAAAATATCAGTATCTGGCACCTTACTAGGTAGCAAAATAGGGTTCCAATGAAAGTAAAAGAAATCTCATCAGTTTGTTCGAAAACAGAGTCCTAATAATAGAGGAGTGGTGCAGGTTGCAGATGTCCTATGTGAGCTGATTTAACGCTTGCCTTGAATGCTCATTATCCCTCTTCCTCTGTGGTTTAGAAATGTGTTTGGATCGATGTATGGCCATTGGGAGATTTTGCTGTTAGCTTCATCTCTGGGAACACAGGGGCAAGGCTGTTTCATTCTGTCTTTTGGAACAGATTTAGTTTATATTCTGTCTGTGGTCATTAAATCCCCTTTTCTTTACTCTCTCATCGGAAGTGTCTTGAATGGTCTTTGACCTAGTTAAGACCTGGCATTGAGACATTCTTTTGAACATAATTTCCAGTGTTGCCGTGTGTTTGCGTGTTGCGTATGTTTGTGAGAACCAGGAGGAAGTCTACATATTTCCATGTTTCTTTGTTTTCAATAGGTTTGTACGCATTGCAGAGAGCAGTGGGGAAAAGACCGAACCTATTAGACAGCGAGGTGGCTGGGTCAGTGATGATTGCGTTCAATGACTTCCTGCAGGGGATGAATGATGTCAGGCCCAGCGCCATGAGGGAGGTGGCAGTTGATGTGCCAAAAGTAAGTTATTTTTTACAATACACTTAACAACATTTAGAGCCACATTAAGAATTGCAGTTAGGCATTGAAATGCCCTATCAAAAGAGAGGCATTTTGTGAAGTGGAAGCCTCATGTTACCAATAAATATTGTGCATCATCTTTTTGTTTGCCTATTTGTTTGTTTAATTATAATTTTGAAGATCCATTTACAGAAGCTTAAGTTCCTAATGCTTTAGGAAGAGTTGGTAGAGCAGGAGCATATCTCCTGATCTCTAGTTTTATATGCTGAGTGGGTCAATCAAGTTAAAAAAAAAAATAATCTTAAGATGTCTACTCAAAGCAGATCCTGAATAGCTCTGAAAGCTGGAGGTTTTTGTAAAGCAGACACAAACTTAAGCAGAAACCAACTGTTTAGTGTTTGTAACCAAAGTATATTGAAACAAAGCTGTGAAGAGATTTGGTTGTTGTGACTGGATGTAAAGCCTAATTCTACATGCAGTTGGTGGTGCCAGGTTCATCTTTACCCTGCTCACAGTCCTCTCCGTTACGTATTATGGTAATTCAGCAGCAGACACAACATAAATTGGGCTGGGGAACTGATCTGATTTAAGACTGCTCTGATCTGGTTTAAGAAGATTCAGCAAAATGAAATGTTGTATTTAATCTTACTAAATCTGTGCTGGTGTTTCTCAGTAGCTCCCCAGGCCCTGGAAGAAAACACTTATGTCTCATTGCATTGAAGATAAGTCTTCTGGGAATGAGATTGCACAACTGTAGACCCTTATTCCCAAACTATAGGAAAGGGAAATAAAATCTGCGAACAGGATGCTGCACGCAGCCAGCTCGGATATCACACTTGGCTTGTTAAGATTCCGTGCTGTGCAGTGAAGTGCTGGGTGGAAATGCCTGGGCTGGCCCTAGACAGCTTTTCCTGGAAATGGTGTAGCGGCATCAATATCCTCCAAGGTAATTAGTTCTGCTGAGAACCAGAGTTATTAATTCTCTCTTTGCTTATTGTGCTACTGGCTCTTGGGCTCGTGTCATTATCGCTCTGCTGTGCCTTTTAGAAATACCAGCCTGTTTGGAGCCAATGCGGTGCTGCTACACAGCACAGTAAAGACAGATAGCAGCAAGGTCTCTGGGTACGGCAGGAAATCTCTTCTGAATCCAGGACAACCTCCTGCTCAGGTTCCTGTTGTCCACTAAACTATCCTGCCAGTGGCTTCCTTGGTTGTCATTTGTTTTTATTTGTTAAACACGAGCTCAGTCACTGGAATACTACTGAAATTCATTCCTTTGTTGAAGGGAAGGTAACAACGTAGTGCAGATTCATTTTGTGCTGACAGGACCTGCACTTTTACAAGATAATGCGTATTGTGTGAAGGGTACACAGGGTATACAGGGTAAATTTCAGGCCATCTGCTTGGTGCCTGGGGTGAGTTTAAAGTGGAAATCTGAAGTACTGGATACTTTTTTTTTTTTTTTTTTTTTTTTGTCCTCCCACATCAACTACGAAATGAGGTGCTGGAATTCAGTTTTACTGAGTTTATGGAAACAAAAGTACATATGCATACTCAGAAGCAGTCTGAATATCTGGGAATACTGACACAGCTGTCTGTGAAAGTCACAGTAGTATACATCCAACCTTGTAACACCACCACCACTCTCAACGCTAATTACTCTGTTACCAGTTGTGTTTGAGGTGGAGAAGTGCCTAAGTCAGCTCAAGTCCATGGGTTAGTTGAAAGAGATCTTGAAGGAATTTGGTAATGCTGGGGCTAGGTGGCTGGGATGGCAGTTCAGGGGAAGCAAGCAACAGGAATCCAAACTGCAGCCCCCTGGTCAGGGCTGCTTGCTGGGGGCTTGGGATGTGATGCAGGAACACTTGAAAACATCTGAAACTCATTCATGTACTTTAGCATAGTGTAACTATTTTAAAAAACTTGACCACTATGTGGTTTATAGATATGCACAAACAAAAAAGAAACAATAATAAAAATTATTGTTGTTATTAAACCTAAATTAGTGTAATTTGCTCTTTATTAGCAAACAAGTATGTCTTATTGTCACCTGATTTTTAGTGTTTGAGTGCCAGTCACTTAGCATTTAATGTTCTGTTATCCAGAGACTTTACCTGGTTGATTTGTTGTTTGGAACACAGATTGTAGCAGAAAATGTGATGCAATTCTAATTCCTAGGATACCTTTTTTTTTTTTTT